GAATGTTGGAGTCCTCCGTCACTGAAGCAAGCAAGCCTCATGTTCGCTTCAAGCTGCCTGGCTGCCGGCCGCCATCTTGGCTGGCAGTTAATTTGCATATCACCCTGATTAGCCTATGGGAAGGGTAGCGGAGGTACGGCTAATTTCCATGTTTCTCTTTTATTAGATAGGATATGCATTACCTAATGACACAGAATATGGTGGTGAAAGCCTGGGGTAGGGGGGGAACTGGGTGGAGAGGGGCAATGTGGCAAATAAAAGGGGACCTCTGTAATACTCTCAACAATAAAGATTTAAAAAAGAAAGATGCTACTCTTCCCTACTGTGGACAACTGTGCTCTTTCTGCAGCCTCCTGGCTCACCCATTTGAGTCTGGAGGCAGACAGTAAAAATAAGAGAATCTACATTGTGTTCAGTAATGCTCACGTGACCTAATTCAGTGAATGAATAGTTATAATAAGTTTTACTGAGAAAAATGTCTCAGCTATTTTATAAGAGTGATTGGAAACACAGCTAGGTACAGTGACTTTACTTTTGAAAAATGTGGTGTCTTCTAGTAGTGCACAGGTAGCTGGCAGCAAACAGCAATATCTTGTTGGAAATGTCAAGGTCTTGGGCTCCCTTGGTCGTGGTTACATCTGTGCTGCGGGGTGGCCTTTGGAAAGCCACAAAAGAGGTGTGAATTGAAGCTTGCATAAATCCTGCCATGTTATGCTCCTTGCTTTCCTACTTACAGTAGCATGGAGGCCCAACAAACCTCGGCCAGGGCAGTCATTGGATGAAAGTTGGTGTGAGGGGTAGGTTGGGGACTAACTTTGCAAGCAAGAGCCTTCTAACTGTGTTCCAATATTCATTCTGAACTCATTGGTCAGTTGAAGCATTTTCAACTGTCCTTATTTCTGGAGGACTGGGAAGGGGGCTGTTTGCTTGCTAAACATGGTGAATGAGGAACCAAATACCAAGGCCATGGAAAGTCATGCAGCTAGAGACTCAGAAATGTTTAGACAAAGTCCTGAAGCCTAATTGTGGTGTGATTGGGTCTTTATTTCCTCTGTCCTTTGGTTTCTCTGGGTATTTGCTCTATCCTCCAGCCTGGTTACCAACCTAACTCACCCTAGAATGAGGTAGGCTGGAGGAGTTCTTGGAACTTGCCAGGCTACTTAAGAGGCAGGCACTCTACATGTCCTGTGAGTTTCTATCCTGATGAGCCAAACCTGATTGGTTGCTATGGGGAATGACAAGCTGTCAGACAGTGAGCTCCCTGTGCACAGTGCCTGGATTATCCATTTTTAAACTCCTGATGCCTAGCAGTGCCTGGCACAGTTGTTTGCTGAATGAAGGAGTAGTAACACTTCATACCAAATGATGCATTATTACTTACAAAGTAATCTATTTTCCCAGCATGAAGTCATTCTACTTTAAAAGTGGAAGGTAAGCAAGACTCTTACAGATGAGGTCACATAGCTATAGGTTGGAGCGGTGGCTTTCAGACTCTAAGTCTGCTGGCATTTTTACACATGTGTGTTATTGAGACTGACCTTCCTAAAATATGCGGCCAAAGCACTAAGAGAGATATGAATATGGATTCAGAGAGACATTTGTGTTTTCTGCATTTTGTTCCTAAATCTGGGGTAGACATATTCTTCATGCGTCTCTTGACTAATGGTATTATTTGGTGCTATTTGTTAATCAGTGCAGGTATATAGGTTTTCAATTACATTTTGAGTTAAATAGAATTTAGAGGCTGGCCTGGTAAACTAGTGAATCCTTGCTTAGTTTGTAGTAGCTATTTCCTGATGTAGCTTTGGCACTATTCACTATTATAGTTTTTGGTAATTTCAATTAATTAGATTGTAGCTCTATGGCCCTGGGTCTTCAGGAAACACATGTTCAAACATTTTCCCTGCTTAATAAGATCCATGTTCCTGTTGAACTTGTAGGGCCTCATTGGAAATCAATGATTGCCTCTGATCTTCCAAATGTAATGTTGAGACTCAGGAAATCACTACACAAAATGCTTTCAGATTGCAGGATGTGGAGAGCTCTCTGTCATTAAAACGAATGATTCTGCTTAGAATAAACCATATTTTAAATCTGTGTGTATATTGTACATGAGGGAACTTCTCTGTACAGAATTATCCCCCCCCCCCCAATAATTCTCCAGCTCACACCTAACTTCTGGGTCACAGTTTGGCAAAAGCTAGCTTTCCTTTCCTAGCAACTGTTACTAGGAGGGGCGTGGCTTCGAAGTCGGGCGAGGGGGACTACCCTTCCCGTGATGCTCCAGGGTGGCCTCCGTCGTGACGCACTCGGTGTCCGCGAGGGGGACGGGGGCGGCGGCCGCTAGTGGGGGGCGAGCTCCCGGAGTCCCGGACTCGCGTTCAGGCAGCTGCAGCGGCCATGTTGGCTTGAGGGGCGATGACAGGAGGTGGCTGCGGCGTCTGGCACTGAGAAGTGGAAGCGAGACAAAGCTCTGAGAGGAAGCCGTTCCGGACTGAGGAGAGGGAGGACCGGCCTCTTCCGGGGACCGGCTGGAGTCGGTGTCGCGGGACCTCGCGAGGCCGGGGGAGGGGAGGGGAGGCCG